TCCTTCCTCTCTTCTCCTCGCTTCATTGAAGTGTCCAGAGAACTGAGAGAGCTTTTACTTCTCCTCCGCTGCTGCCGTTTTATTTCTCTCTTTTCTACACAAGTGCCGCTGAGCAAGGCATTTATCCAGAGTGTTGTAGGTTGTGGCTCAGTGAACCTTTTCATTAATAGAAATAAATCAGCGGACGGGACGACAGAGAGACGCGCAGACAGCAGCTGCTAAGAAAATAAACCAGGGAGCATCAACTCGCATGAACAGAGATCCTGTGTAATTGAACATGAAACGGATTTAGTTTGTGTGGTTGCTGCTGCCGCATCGCTAGGCTAATGTCTTGCTAACACACACACACACACACACACACACACTGTTATTCACGCTCCAACACACTCGTTACGAGCTCTGTGAAGAGCGAGACGGTCGGAGAAGGACAGACAGTTTGCTGTTTTTCTTCTTTTCTTCAGGTTGAAGAAACAGGAGGAAAGCGATCACTGTTTTCAACGTAACTCGACACTTGAGATGTTTTTATGTTTGTCTTGATTTCATCTCTGGAGTTTTGGTGAGTTTGACTTGTAATAAATCGACTCCCCTGAATTCAAAGTGTCTCTGAAGGGGAGTAAACAACGAATCGTTAAGAGGAGCGAAAAACAATCAAGCACATTGATGAGACGAGTCGTTCGGTCCAGTGGGGACGCAGCTAATTGGCTTCTGGAAAAAAAAAATACTGTCAATGATAAAAATGAGTTTAAAGCCGAGTTCTGCGAGAACGTGTTCAAACACGTTCATCAGATCAGATGATTGTGTGATGTTTGGGTCAAATCAGGGTTAAATCAAACCGAACAGAGCTTTTATAAAGTTAAAGATTCAATGTGAGTCCAGAATATCAACATGTTTAACGAGGGACCAGGAAAGAAGAGATTCTGCACCATCATCAGTGTTTCAGTGTGAAAAGTGTTTTCCAAAGACACTAAATTTAAATTTTATAGTTCGGAGACTGAAAATGATGATGAGATTATTTAAAAGTGGATCTCACTCAGGAGGTCGAGTTAATTTCTCCTCAGAGAAAAGTTCATGTTGAACATTTCTAAAGTAAAAAACAATCAAAGCAAAAGTAACGTTTCTTTTATCATGATTAAATCTTTTTGTGATTTAGGAACTTTTTGGAAATGGTGGGAGCGTTAATCACTGGAGGACAGAGACGGAGAGTCTGATTAGTTTTTCATATGTTTAATCACAAACCAGAGAATTGGATTGACCCGGTGGTGGCACAAAGTTAATAAGTCACATATATTATTAAAACTTACCATTCAAGTTAGTGCAACTCACCCTGAAGGGAATATTCTGTAGATGCCTGAACACAATTTCATGTCGGCCCCGAGTCGGCCCGGTGTCGGCCCGGTGGACAGATGGAGGCTGATGCTGTAATTCACTGTAAGAGGTCTGCTGGAAAAAATGTGTGATGGAAACACATTTGTGCGCCTCTCATCTTCCTCCTCCTCCCTTCTTCCCTTTCTTTTCCTCTCCTTCTTTTGTCCCCCTCTCCTCTCTTAGAAATAACACACATACAGGATGTTTATGTAAATCAGATGAGCAGATTAGTGTCTATATTTATAAAACTCATCTGCTCTCTCTCTCTCTGTCTCTGTCTCTCTCTCTCTGTCTCTGTCTCTCTCTCTCTCTCTGTCTCTCTCTCTCTGTCTCTCTCTCTCTCTCTCAGCTCCCTGTTTTTATCTTTCATCTCTCCTCTCTCGGTGTCTCACTCTGCTCTGTCCCTAATTGAATGTTATACGTTATCATTAACACACTTGACTTTGTGTTTCTCAGTGTGTGTGTGTGTGTGTGTGTGTGTGTGTGTGTGTGTGTGTGTGTGTGGTGCGTCACTGCAGCTGTAAACACTGTCACTGTGTGGAGGCTAATGAGCAGTTTCCCATCAGACGATCAAACGGCTGCAAAGTTTCCTGAGTCTTTGCTCTGCATCTGCTAATCGCTACATGCACAAAAGTATGCGGACACTTTGCCATGTGTTACAGAGCTGTGATGTCCGGCCCAGCCTCCACTGTGCTGGTCTCAGTGTTTCCAGCAGGAGCTTCAGATTTACAGCTGCACCATGAAATCAAATGGAAATCTCTCTAAATGTTTGAGTCTCATGCTCCAGTATTCAGCCTGAGTCACAGGATTTTAATATTTTCAAGATATGTGGGATTTGTAGTTTGTATGAAAAGTGACATCTGACGTGGTCAAGACTGGATTCCAGAGGTTCTGGAAAAAAACGTGTTTATATTTTTTACAGAGTTAATGTAGGTGTGTGTGTGTGTGTGTGTGTGTGTGTGTGTGTGTGAGAGAGAGAGAGAGAGAGAGAGACAGTATCTTTGAAGTCTCTTTTACTACATGTGCCTCACTGGTCTTTGAAGTCTATCTGAATTTGGCTGACTCGTCTGTACAAGGTGTGTGTGTGTGTGTGTGTGTGTGTGTGTGT